AGCAGCTGAAAAGAAATCAGAGGATCCTTCAAAAAGAAGTTCTCAAAGACTGCATATGACACTTCTGTGTGAGGGAATTTAGACCTAAAAAATGTGCAAAGCGCTGCAGAAAGCAGACAAATCAGTCCTGTGCGCCCCTATGGCTGCAATGGAGAAAAGCAAACACAACAGCAGCAAAGCATAAACCTTTTAACTGAAATCATTCCCTGCGATCTATGTAGAGGACAGATGAGGACGAGGATTGCTATGAAAATGTGTCAGTATGACCACGAGCATTCACATTACCCCAAAAGCGTTTGTAATTGATTTCAGGATCTAAGTCCTATAAAAAGTTGCTCACATGAGTAGCTGTGTTCTTCTGTAAGCTATCTGGCCAATTAGAGCCAAAAATGCCAAGCACTGATATCCCTTACTCACTTGAGGAGGACTGAGAGTAACTCCTTCTGACTTAAGTAGCATTACTCAAGGAAACGGGGTGCTACTCCTCTCTGGTTTTAAATTCTTAACCAGTCTCAAAGACACTAATGAATATAATGACATCCATAGTCAGATTAGTAAACGTTTCTCTGTATTTTAGCAGAATAACCACATCCAGTGTACTGCCCTTCACACAGAAGGAAGATTGTAAGATATTTCAGTTAACTTCCCTGTGAATTTCTATACTGATGGTAACCTTGAAGAAAAAAATTAAGTATACCTGCACAATACTCAGGTCTGAAGAAGAGGCTTTCACTGAAATATTCATGTTCTTGCAACGAATAAAAAATTCCTTATCATACAAGCTGGACAGGTCTTTTCTTGTAGTTTTCAGACCTTGATGTTTTATTGACCAAACTTCCTGCTTTAGACTTGAGCTCATGTTCTCTGAGGAAGTACAAGTGGTAATTATGCAAGTCTTTCCTCCCCTGTCATAGGCAACATTCACAAGGGAGATTTACAACCTTCAGCTTTCAGATATGGAGACTGGTTGTTTAGCTTCAGTGAGAATAACTCTGACATGGTGAATGGCATCAGAATTGGAACAAATCCTCTAGAAGGTGGCTACCTGGGCAGCCCTCAGAATTAGATGTTGGGGGGTGGAGGGGTGTTATTGCCTCTTCTTTTTCCTGTATTAACCCCAACTGAAAGATTGGTCCGATTTTAGAAAACAGACTTCTTAAATATAATGCATTTTACACCCTTAGGCAATAGCAAATCTATCTATAGCAATAGCAGACTAACTTGTGGGTTGAACGATACTTATTCACTCATAACAAATGCTATGAGATAAGTGAGCATGACGCAGAGACACTCTTAAATAATGAGAGGCTGTGTTAAGAGTTGACAGGAGTGCTGACCTAGAAACACAGTCAGGACAGCTATAAATAAAATACATTGTAAGCGAGCTTCATTAATGAAACCTAAGATGTATTTTCTTATCACAAAGCATTCAAAAAGTCAGGCAGTTTGTTCATCTGAATTACATTTAACTCAAATTCTGATATATCGAGGAAATGGTTTGGCCCATGCTCCTGTAAATGTACACATCTGCTCCAGAAAGAAGCAAGCAGGATACAATCAGAAATTTACTTTAATCAATAGTCTTTCAGTTCACTGCAGTAAAGTTTTGATTAGTCCCTTAATGCACAACCTTATCATGACTGACAGCAATCCTGCTTTCATACGTTTGATTGATCTAAGACTGGAGAAGGTACAGAGGGCAGGAGTGTTACAGGAATATAGCTGGTCTGTAATGACCCCATTTCTATGACCCTTAGAGGATTGTAATAAGGATCTTTTTATTAAAACAAAACAAAATAAAACTATCAGAGCTCCAGGGCAGATCTGTGTTCTCTTTTGGCCTGTGTTAACCTCTAACCAAAATCTGGCCATTTAGAAAAAAGTGTACTTCAGCTGGTTTTCTTTATTTTTGGAAGTTTAAAATGAAATATAAAGCCCATAATAAAATGCATATGAGGACACAAATCAATAGACTTGAGAACTATGTTAAGAACTACCCAACCATATAGGTCTTCATTAACAAGGGTGCTCCCCTCATGAAATTCAGAAAATGCTCTTATTTGCTTGTGTGTTGTTGTTCATGGCGGTACTTATTTCTATGGTAACCAAAGCAATAAATACAGCACTATTAGACAACAATAATCAACATAAAAAAAAAACTTATTGCAAAAGAAGTCAACTAAGAGCCAAAACAGAGGTGTTCAGATGATGGTGTAATTTGCTATAATAACTGTTTAGCCACATATTTGGCAAGCCCTGGATAACTCACTCATGAGTAATGCATTTGGCCAAATTAAATTAAAATAAAAATAGTTACCATACTATATTATCATGTATTCTGCACAGATATTTCCTCTCTATCGATTTTCCCATGACAAGAAGAATTCTTACTGAACTCAGGTTAACTGTGGATTGATTCTTATTTCTCTTGCTCAGCCTCTCAAAAGTTGGTTAGGTGATGTGGAGCCACACATCATCAGCCCTTTGCTATCTGGAGCTATCCAACTTCCTCGTGCAGCCTCCCACTCGCCTCTCTGCTGTCTGCTCCATCTGGAGGGAGCTGGCTGCTCTCCTCCAGCCCCGGCTCCCCAAACGAAAGGCAGCCTGCAGCTGCCAGAACATCTGCTGTTTCTGGGCCTCGCTGGGGTGAGTACCAAAAGTGTGGCCTTTTTAAAGTTGGACAGTCGCCTCCATTAGAAACTGGATGAGTTCAAAGTTCTTGCATTTGTCCTAAAGCTTGTAGCTATGTGGGAATATACAGTACAACTGTCTGCAACACAAATTCAAGTGCAAATTTCAAAGGGATACACACGTTGTCTTTGGGATGCACTGGCATTTTTCCAGCTCTTCCTCTGCATCTGTGGCACTATGGTTTTAGGAATTGTCTCGTTTGGAAGAAAGAGTAAATTTGAAGAGCAAAGAGTGGAAGGAACATAAAACCAAACAAAGTCAGGCCTTGAGTCTGCAATTACGTCTATCAAGGGTGGGCTTCTCAACAGAGCTGCTGCTGCATCTGTGCCTCCAGGCCGTACAGACTCCATAGTGATGTGTCATGGGCTACTCCTGGTGAAGGCAGAAATTGCCTCTTGTTTGAAAAGGTGCATTTGAAAAAGAGGTGTCTTGTCTGAAAAAAATAGGAGCATGAAATAATGTCACCCATCTCACAGGATAAAAATCTGTACAGCAGCCCCACATTAGCTGTCCTTTTCGTATATGGGTCAAATCATGCCCTGGCAACATGCAGGGTTCCTGCTGGCTTCATAATGGGAAATGTATTACTTATTTAGAGCTGACTTGGCTTTACTTAGAATGATTTAATACATTAGTTATTGAAAGTTTTGTGTTTGGGAGAAGCCGTGTCAACAGGTGAAATACAGTCATGCAGTTTTTTGAACCTCAGTTTTGTACTTTCTGACAGGTTTCTGCACAGGGCAGGACGCAGGGTGCGTAGTTAGCACGGCTCTTCCAAGATCAAATCCTGGTCTTGGAGCACAGCGTGAAAAACTGGGAGACGCAGTAGGTGTTCTGCAATTTGCTTTATCCAACTTGTGCTGGCACAGAGTTGTTCGGGGCTCTTCGAGTATGTCTGAACTGACATGCTGGCTTGAAGTGCAAGCTGACACATGGCTTCATCCCCTGAATGTCCCCCAGTGCTTATATTTTTGCATGCTCAAACCTAAAGCTACTTTGGCTTAAGTCTGGAGTGAACAAGCTGGCTCTCTTAGGAAGAAACCTCAAGCTCAGAAGAGGTTGACCCTCAGGCTCTCTCTTATAGGGCTGAGGAGCTCTTGACTGCATGAACTCAAACTTCAATTTGAGGTGAGATGTTCCTGCGGCCAGAGCTGCCCTCTCGGGAGCTCCCCACCTCTGAGGCACCCACCAGACACAAACACATGGGTCCTGCCCCTTCCCCTGGAGCCCACACACCCCCTTTCTACAGAGGAAAGAGGGGACTCCTTGCTGAAATCCACCTTGCAGAAAATGGGGCTCAAGAGCCTTTTACAGTTTCTCCAAATCCGCTGTCCTATGTCCATAGCACGACATGTTGGCACGCACTGTCCCCTTCCCTGCGCAGGGAGGCAGGAGCTGCCTTTAAAACAGGAAGTGATTAATGCTGAAAATAGAATTGAAAATGTGTGTTTCCAGTGGAGTGGGATTTGGAGTCCCCAAACACGGGTACTCTCTGAATACAGAACAAGGCCACTGTGAAAAATTGTGCAGGTCTACAAAGAAGATAGAAGCAATTGCTACTCAATTGATAGTATTGCAACTCAAAGCTAAGTAGGCATAAGTGGAATACACAATAAATGTATATTTAGCTGTAGTTAAAAGTGAAACTTAATATCCTATGTTAGTACATAGTACTCTCTTACCAAGGAACTAATTTATAGGTAAAGAAACAGAGCTTAAAACTAAGAGACTGTGTGTTTTTAAATAACCTAAGTAAAATGCATACTTACTTACCTTTTATTCTCCTGCTGTGTGTGCTCTGAGCTGGTCCAGGGAGTTCTATGAGGTAAGAAATTCCTGTTCAACAAAAGTTCCTTTTCTAAAAAAAGTGAACATAATGGAAACGGGGAACCACTTACCAGGCAGCTGAAAAAGGAGCTGACTGTGCAGAGAATTTCACACCTTATGGCTTTTGGTCAGTAAAGTACATAAACAAAATGTAATTTTCTATGCAATTACACAGGGTCACACAAGAATATTATGTTTTAGAAATCCACTCAAAAGCATATTGCTCTCTAAGAGCCCAATCCAGAAAATGGTTCCTCACTTTAGCAAAGTTGCTCGTAAGCATTTCTGGGACTGGGGCCTAGGAGACATTTTCCTTTTTATGCTTTCTTAAACAGTTTATGTGATAGTAACAACAGGAAGATAAATTACTTTGAATGGTAGCAATTAGCGAAATAAGGAGTGTGATAGATTTACCATGTGGAAAACATCTCTCACACATTTTCTTACAGTCATTAAACCTACTTTTAATGACACAACACTGATTTCAGAAAGAAACCAAGTTTATTTGATGAATATAAACAAGCTGATCAACACTAAATACTTCCCATACACATGATAACAATGTTATGAACTCTAAATACCTTGGTACTTTACACTTCTACTAGACATTAAATTACAATGACTGTCTAATACATGCCCACTGGTAATTTCTAGGAATTCCTTAGTTTCATATCAATGTCCTTAACCATATATCAATATCACAATCCAGAACATGCCACTCACTTCAAAAAATTATTACAAGAAGCGCTATCAAATGAGGATCTAAGGTAAATAGGGAATACTGACCCATTGCTGCAGAACATCACATTCAAACGTCACCCTACACACACAAAAACATTGCAGATATAGTTTGTGTCAACACATCTGAGGTCTTTTCATAAACACTGTTTAAAAAGTAAATTGAAACCCACTTTCAAATGAAAGTCAATGTGCAGGTACGTGCATACTGGATACACAAAATCCATTAAATACAAAATTCATACTGTACATTTAAATGAAATAATAAAGAATGTGTAGTACAAGACTGATCTCACATTAAAATAATAATAACAATTTTAAATGTTAACCAAAAGTTGGTTTGCTTCTTTACACTTAGAGGGGGAAGGGGGGAACCTACCAAACATTGCTCAAATAAAATATTTCCCAACGTCACAGTGTTTATTGTAAACCCCGAGATTCTATTTTAGTATATGAAAAGATTTTTTCCAAACAGCACAGAGTTATCACATGAAATGAAAAGGGAAAAAGGAAAAAAAAAAAAAAAAAGAAGAAAAGAAAAAAAAGCTATGTTAGACAAAGTCTTCCTCTTTAGGGGCTAACTTGTAGGCCCTGATAAAAGTTTAGATCAATACTCTTACCAACATGAGTGGAGCAAAAATGCCCCTAAAATAATACCTGTGACAAAATTGGCACATACATATAAATATCTAGCTATACAGCTTTGTACCTGTGACCCTACTCCCCCCTAGTTTATTTCCTACTTCAAGTATTCAGTTGCAGAGTTAAGGTAGAGACCTGATTGTAAGAGACACCACCGACTGTCCCCTACTATGACAACAAATTTGTCATGAGAAACTAGTTTTGTTGTCTGAGTTTCCAAGTGCAACATTTGTCATGTGTGCTAAATAAACTCCCAAAAGCTTTGCTGTTTCAAAAACAAAGATCTAAAATGCCATTGATAGTTAAAGGACAAACTTTTTAAACATGAATGAAATTGGAATTATCTACGCTATACTAATTCTATGCATTTTACTCTATTTACTGAAGACAGTAGCATCCAGCAAGACTCCTGCTTGAATGAATTGCTCTTTGATTGCACTGAGAATTATGGTACAACTAAATAAAATATCATCTCTAGACAATAATTTGAAAGGGGTTACTATGTATGGCTCATGTAGGATGTTTAGGGATAATTGCACCACAGGTTCAAAAAATAATTTTTCTAAATTCAGTGCAAGACTTTCGGAGTATCCATTTAGATTTCTCTTGTTTACAGCAGCAAAGAAAAACTACTAAGGATTAAGGCCACCCATGCTTAAATTTATTGTTTGTCCTTTAAAAATGCAGATATTCAATTCCCACTCCCATCAGCATGGAAACATTTCTTCCATGGACACAAAGATACCTCAATAAAACAGCAAACGTGCACGTTTGCTAGACTGACTGAAAATGTTCATGGAGTCATTAGGATCCTCTCCTTGAGAAGTGGTAGAGATTTGAGTGTCAGTTATAATCTCTCACTCAATGTAATGACTTCGCATGTTTTGTTTTTCCTTGCATGTGCTTTACATTTATTTTACTAGATACATTTTTTTAATTTTTTTATTATTATTTTTTGATACAAACAGCCTTTAAATGCTATTTGTTCATTGGTAGTTTCTTTAACATCTAAGATTCATTGGGATCCATGTTGGAGACTGGTTTTCAATGTAGAAAACAATAACAAACAGTTGCTCATTTACAGGAGACCTAGTGCATATACTGTATTCACAGCAATCTTATCTTTATTTTTGTTATTTTGGTTTTTTTTTCTTTTTTTTTTTTTTTAAGAGTCCCAGCTTTTATTGTTGAAAACCTGTATGCATTTGGATGGTAAAAGGTTGATACATCCTTGTGTCTATGTCCATATATATACATTCATATGTATTTATATATGCCTCAAGCTTTTACCATCCAGGAATAGATACATCTTGTATATAATCTTATGATCAAATTAGATGTCCTATGCATTGTCAGAGACACACACCATATTTTCATAAAGTTATCTTTGTTATCAGTTATTAGTACCAAAAATTGATTTCATTTCCAACCTGGCCCAGAGCTTAATACCGGTTATACTATCGATGTGTTTTGGGTTTTGGTTTGGTTTTTTTGGTTGGTTGGTTTTGGGTTTTTTTGGGTTACTATTATTATTTTATCAGTAGATCTAAGAAAACAGAGGAGGGCAAAGGCTTGGAGTTTATTTTTTGGAAAAGCCCGCATCTAACTGGGGGTAAGATTAATGCCAACACCCTCATACAGCATTTTACTAATACCTCTTCGATAATCTAGTGCAACAGAACTGATACTTTAGAATCAGCAAATGCAGATACTACATTTAAGAGAATCGGAATTACTTATTAAAATCAATATAAATTTACAAAAAATTAGTTAAATAACCTGTTTAACTGAACTTCATTAAACTATAGTACTCTGAACAGATGGTTTCTTTTGTAAAAACAAAATAACTTGCAAGACCCATTAAAGACAGAAATGAAGCTCTTATGATTCCTGCTTGAGTCACCTTTGTTGTTTTCCAAAGTATCTAATTTCATAGTAGACTACAAGAAATAACGGAGAAAATGCCAATTAATGCAGCATTTCATTAGATATCAACCTCTGCATTCATTTTCTGCATCTGTGATCCTTCTCCTGGATATCGTGGTTACATTTGGAGATCCAGTGCAATAGATTATCATTGTTACCTTCCAGCGCTACATTTTTTTTCTTCCTCTTTCATTAGTTCCTCTGACAACTGTACAAGAGAACAAAATATTCAAATTAATAACAATATTGAAGCACACAAAACATCCTAGTCCTCATCTAATCAAGCTTCTCATAGACACCAGTGGATATATTACTTTCCTATGGAATAAGGGTTAAGTAAGGATTTACATTTGATTTGAACCCACTTATGTGGCAATTATAGGGTGCCAATTAGTTTTACAGCCAATTTGTATGACAAGATCTCCCCTAAATGAGAAAGATTTTAAATTTCAAAGATGTGAAATTCTGTTGTGCTTGTGACTCTGTAAATGGTGAGTTTTCTGATCTTATCTATAAGCACAATAGCTTGAATTGGAAATGCTATTAATAAAACTAAATATTTTTATTTGGAAACCAAAAGAATCATCCACTGATGATAGCAGGTAGGGATATGTAATACCTCTAGGAATTCTCTAACACTGAAGGTACTGAAAACAACATTTTATTTCTGTATCTTAAGCTCTTCAAGTCTTCTTTAATTTACAAAACAGTGGAAAAAAGGCTTTATGGATTTATAAAAGTTAAAATACACAACAATCAGTTATGAGTTTTTCAGCTATGAAGTCAGAAATCAATGACTTGCTCTTTATGGCTTGGCTGCCTTTGCTGAAATATAGGGGACTTTGAGAAGTAACTGGTGTAAGCCCAAGTTAGTCAGTGGAAAGAGTCTTCTTGTTCGACATGGGCTTTGAATGAGGCTTCGTGTCTGTGACTATGGAGTGAGGCCTGAATGATTTTTATTGTTAACTAGTTCTACTGCAAGCAAATGGCAAAGTATTTTTCAGCAGAGAGCAGTGAAATAGTCTTATTCACATCATCTGTGAATCAGATAAGTGGGAGGAATTAAATGATTCTTTTACAGGGCAGTTGTTCATTTATCCACCGAGTTTGTTTCTAGAAAAGTGGAAATGCAACGCATGGGATTCTCTGTTATTGCCCTTGCATTTATGTAACCTTAGAAACTCTTGAATCATCCAATTTTATGAAAAGGAAATGCCATAGAATGCTTACAATTTTGTTATGCAGCTGAAAAAATTGTTCAGTTTTGTAAATAGAACTAGTTGAATAAAATGGCCCTTAAAATTGTAGAATTTAATATTTATCAGTGTAATTATTCTGTGAGTGAAGCACAGTTTACAGGATAAACTTGCAAATGACTTTAAATCCCAATTTTCAAGTTCATGTCTTTATGGCAAGTACATATAATGGTTTATATAATATAAACACATGAATATTTCTACTTTTCTAATGGGAGGTTGGTACAATTCCTCTGGTTAAAACACTTAGGGACTAATCCAAACCCCACTGAAACATGGAAGGGTTCCCACTGATTTTAACGGGTTTGGGATCTGGCCCTTGAATGGAGAAAAAATGACTTCTGCAGAGCTGGAAAGCCAGGGAGTTCCTAAAGTAGATCATGTTACTAGTTCTGGCACATAAAATCTTTGCAAACTTTTTATGAAAACTGTAAGTCAGAGCATGCATTACGTTTTGTGAGCAGTACATAGCTCCCATTCTTTTGTATGCTGAGTATTTAAACATTATTCAGAGAGATACATAGGCATAGGAAGCACCCATATAAATTAACGAGGGAATACATTCCAAAAACTGTAGCACAAAAAAGTCTGATTTTAACAGGTTCACTGAAACATAATCACAGCAAATCTTCAATATACTTGGTATTTTACAAGCTAAGTTCCTTTGCAATTAACACTCATTTATGCTTTTAAAAATAAGAACCCAGGATCAAATGTCCAATCTGAGGAACAGCAACAAATCACAAAATACAATCTCTCCCTGGCTTGCTCCCCAAATTTTTGTTGGGGTTTTACTATAGAATGAAACCCCTGAATAAGCCCCATCTGCTTAATCAACCCACCCATTCATCAGGAAACCATATATGTATTGGAAGTGTAACAAAAACTTGTTCACCACAGGTAGGAAATGCAAAGTATTTCTCGAGTAAGCCAAATAAATATATAAAAGGATATTGCTGTCAAATACCAACTGAGGTTAAGTAAATTAAATTTATATTTGTTTCTTCAATGCTGTACTTGGTATAGGTACTGAACCTCTAAAACAGAAATGAAATTTGGTAACATACATTGGGCCTGAGATTCAGCAGTGCTCCATCTGAAATTAATGTCGTATGAGTTTGGCACCTCTGACAGTCCATTAGATACCGGTCAATGGAAACAGCAGAAGGATGTGAAGATATAAAAGTGTAGTAGCCCACAAATATTTATTCAGATTGTTTTTCCTTTGGATAAAGACACCTGCCTGATTACTACCTTTTACCTCCAATCCTTTCCTCTCAGCAGTGATTTGCAGAAACAAGCTGGAGAGGGTGGGTAAACACAAAGGGGTTAAAGGGGAAACTGTTTAATAACAGTAGTAAAATGCAGGCTATTTTTGACATCTGGGTTAATGTCCATTATACTCCATATGCTTTCCAAATGTTTGCAGCAAGCACCCAGATACAAAAACAGATACCCATTCACATAGGCTGAAATTGCCCTCTCCTAACCTGTTACACATGGTACCTACATAAAAGGCCAACAACTGATATGGTAATTAGTGAGTCAGAAAGAGAGGGAATAGCCACTTTATTGCAGGGAATTGGTATCTGACCAAACGTTAGCAGAGAAGGATATCATTAATGAAAACCTGTTAGGCTATTTCTGGTCCTTAATCTATGAAAAGGCATCTGCATTACAACGTGACATCTTTTCAAAACGCGTCAGGATGAATTCCTAAGTTTCCTTCTCTAGACTCCTTCATCCTAACTGCAAGCAGAGTACCAACAAATGATGGGGAATTATTTAACTTTCTGGAAACAAGCCACTAGACTGAAAAGTAGTATTTAAAAAATAAGGCTATAACTCAAAGTCTTTCTCAAGTGATCTCCTAGAACTTATCTGCCTCTTTTTGCAACAACAAAGTCCAAATGACATGAAAAAAAAAGAAAGCATTCTCCAGTTTTACTTTTATCTGTGCAAAACCATGGAAAAAATGACTCAGTTAAGTAAGACAAAGCCCTGGCATGGTACTGTTATGAATTCTGTCCCTGCCACTAGCTTTTGTGTGACTAAGGAGAAAGTTGCATAATTTCTCTGTGCCTAACTTGCTCTTTGCTATAGCAGGCATAAACATCAAGCCCCTCACAGGAATTTGCAAGGTTTAATGTTTGTAATGTGCCTTAATAGCCTTGGATGAGTGCTAAGTATTATTATTTTTCAGTTCCTGCATTTGATTAAAACTGAAATAACATAGTAAAAATTAAATTAATATATTAAGTTACAAGTAAAGAGCAAGCATGTGGTTTGTGGAGCTACTTGTAACACTTTTAATATGAACATGTATTATAGACTGGGTGATTCCCAAGGCCTGTAATGACATGTGCCATGTGGGCATAACTTAACAACTGCAGAATCCCCCCAGATGTTTGATTCAGCCAAAAATCTGTTCGTGGCTTCTGTGTGAGCCCCGAGCTTGGGCCAGTGGGAGCACTGCAGGCTGCTTTTCCCCTGCCCTGAAGTACAGTTGCAAACACGATCACAGTCCAGATATTTGCAACTCAGCACAAGAAACAATATTAGGTAGCACAGATCTGCTGGAGTGCTCATTGCTGTACGGTTCTCTTGACAGAGGATATGAAAATGGCATGATATGTGCTATTCGAAATTCTCTGTCATTACAGTCCCAATAATAAACACTGGTTTTGCTACTTCCCCTGGCCTAACTCTCATGGAAAGAATAAACCCTCACCTCTCGCTTTCTAAAGATTAAAGTAACCTGTTAAAGCCTGTTATATCGAGGTGAAAATCTCTAGTGAGGAGGGCCAAGAAGAGAAATAATTAAGACGTAAAGTTCTATCCAACCTACACAGAAAACTTTTAATGCTGAGATGCCAAAGACACCTAAGACACTTGTTGAGCCGAGTGAAAAGGTAAAATCTAGTTTAAATTTATAGCATTCCTTCAGTGTCCCTCTAGGAGTTTGGCTTTTTGCCAGTGTTCCTTGTTAAAAATTTGTTAAACGTGTTTGGCATTAATGCAAACACAAAGTGCTCATTTGTTACAAATTCTATTGGAATGCATTCATTTAAGGCAATGAAGTAGTTACCAGAAAAGAAAAAATGTTCATTAAGTACATTTTAAAAATACAATGATGTATGCGGTGCATAACTATGGCGCCCCAGTGGCTATATAAATATCTGACAGAATAACCACAAGTTGTGTTTGGTTTGAAATAGGAATCTCTTAAACATAACCGATAGAACAAAACCTGGTTTTGTTTGTTGTCAAAACTGATGTTAGTCTTTCTTGTTTGGAACTAGCTAAAATAACCAATTTTTGGCATACAATTTCTTACATCTCAAATCAATAAAGCCCACAGGTTAAAGTAATGCTAAAGGAAGTTTCTTGATTCGAGCAGTAAGTGCAGCACTGCACATTATCTGGAGAACACTGAACACAGAAAGTAAACACCCTGCTTGGAGGAGAACAAATTTTAGTCATTCTTAAGAACTCCACTTGAGGAAATGTTACCTGGGAGATCTGCAGCTGTCTGACAACATGCAGGTACACCTAGGCAAATGTGTTCTGCTCTACTCTCATTGCAGTAATCCTTTCAAATCTAGTTTACAAAATCCTAATAACATGAAATTTCCCTGATAATGATAACTTACTGATTTTGAATAAGCAATTCTGAGGTGTATTTCTTAGAGGCTAGAAAATATATTCTTAGGTAGTGTAAAAGTAGAAGAAATTTTCTTTTTATTTTTTCAATGATTTATAGTTACAATAAAGCTTAAAAGTGGTAAATACATGAATTAAATATACTTTAAAAGAAAGATCCAGAAAATGTGTGATTTAATTAGAAATTGAAAGGTTCACACAAAGCATCAGTATAGAAAGTTATTTATAGAGACAAAACTAACTTTGTTCCAATCCTGGCAAAGAAATTATTTATCCCATTTGTTGCTAT